AAGTTCGCCAAATTACCAGGAGAGCCTAGCCAAGCAAAAGCGGCATTTGAATTTGAGTTGGAGGCTTTGATTCGACGTGTTCGCCATCTAGAGTTTCAAGTTGTCAGTCATCAACCATACCCCCGACCTGTCCCCGAGTTACCTTTGTCTTCCACCAAGAATTCTGATTTTCTCTGGCTTTTCGGGCTCTCTCGCCTGTCCTCTCATGAAGGAGCTGCTTCTAACTCTTCTTGCGGCATGCAGCAGGAAACTTCACGACGTCGCCAGAGAACAAGGAGAAACCGCCGTGAAGCGGAAGACAATGAAGCCGATGAGGCACTCGATGACGACGACAGTGATGATGATGTAGACTCGAGAACTCGACTCGTTCGCGAGGAAGACATCAGTTATCTGCGGAATCATGTACAGAAACAGGCGGAGGAAATAAGCTTCCAAAAAGACATCATCGCTCAAGTTCGCGACGAGCTACTGCAGCAGGAGGAACACACGCGACGGGCATTGACCAAGGTTGAGAATGAAGATGTGGTCCTGTTGGAACGCGAGCTACGCAAGCACCAGCAAGCCAACGAGGCTTTCCAGAAAGCCCTTCGGGAAATTGGTGGCATCATCACGCAGGTCGCGAATGGTGACTTGTCCATGAAGGTGCAGATTCACCCCCTCGAGATGGACCCTGAGATCGCCACTTTCAAGCGCACGATCAACACGATGATGGATCAGCTGCAGGTTTTTGGTAGTGAGGTGTCTAGGGTCGCTCGAGAGGTCGGGACGGAAGGTATCCTTGGTGGGCAGGCTCAGATCACTGGGGTTCACGGTATTTGGAAGGAGCTTACAGAGAACGTCAACATCATGGCCAAGAATCTCACTGATCAGGTGCGTGAAATTGCGGCGGTGACGACCGCCGTCGCCCATGGCGATCTCAGTCAGAAGATCGAAAGTCGTGCTCAGGGTGAAATCCTGGAACTGCAACAGACCATCAACACCATGGTCGATCAACTGCGCACATTCGCAACGGAGGTCACTCGTGTCGCTCGTGATGTCGGTACGGAAGGTGTTCTGGGTGGACAGGCCCAGATCGAAGGCGTCCAAGGCATGTGGAATGAGCTGACTGTCAACGTCAACGCCATGGCAAACAATTTGACTACACAAGTGCGAGACATTGCGACGGTCACCAAGGCTGTGGCCAAAGGTGATCTGACACAGAAGGTTCAAGCCAACTGCAAAGGAGAAATTGCTGAGCTCAAGAACATTATCAACTCCATGGTGGACCAGCTGCGGCAGTTCGCCCAAGAGGTCACGAAGATTGCCAAAGAAGTCGGTACGGATGGCGTTCTCGGTGGCCAGGCCACCGTAAATGATGTGGAAGGCACTTGGAAAGACTTGACCGAGAATGTCAACCGAATGGCAAACAACCTGACCACCCAAGTCAGGGAGATCGCCGATGTCACGACTGCCGTCGCGAAAGGTGATCTAACCAAGAAGGTCACGGCCAACGTTCAAGGTGAAATACTAGATCTTAAGAGCACCATCAATGGCATGGTCGACCGACTGAATACTTTCGCCTTCGAAGTGAGCAAAGTTGCCAGGGAAGTCGGCACAGACGGTACCCTCGGCGGCCAAGCCAAGGTCGACAATGTGGAAGGCAAATGGAAGGATCTCACAGACAACGTCAACACCATGGCCCAGAATTTGACGTCCCAGGTCCGAAGTATTTCAGACGTCACGCAGGCTATCGCGAAGGGTGACCTCAGCAAGAAGATCGAAGTCCATGCTCAAGGAGAGATCTTGACCCTCAAGGTTACGATCAATCACATGGTGGATCGTCTTGCGAAATTTGCAACTGAACTCAAAAAGGTCGCTCGCGATGTCGGCGTGGACGGGAAAATGGGCGGTCAAGCCAACGTGGAGGGGATTGCGGGAACATGGAAGGAGATCACTGAGGATGTCAATACAATGGCTGAGAACCTAACTTCGCAGGTGCGTGCGTTTGGTGAGATCACCGATGCTGCAACCGATGGCGATTTCACTAAGCTCATCACTGTCAACGCTTCCGGGGAGATGGATGAACTCAAGCGCAAGATCAACAAGATGGTCTCCAATCTCCGAGACAGTATTCAGCGTAACACTGCTGCCAGGGAGGCAGCTGAGCTGGCGAATCGTACAAAGTCCGAATTCCTTGCAAACATGAGTCATGAGATCCGGACTCCCATGAATGGCATCATTGGCATGACACAGCTCACTCTAGACACTGACGACCTGAAGCCTTACACGCGCGAGATGTTGAATGTAGTGCATAACTTGGCGAACAGCTTGCTAACAATCATCGATGACATACTCGACATTTCCAAGATTGAAGCAAATCGGATGGTCATTGAAAGCATTCCTTTCACAGTGAGGGGAACCGTGTTCAACGCTCTCAAGACGCTGGCCGTCAAGGCCAACGAAAAGTTTCTCAGTCTGACATATCAAGTTGACAATACTGTACCGGACTATGTCATTGGCGATCCTTTCCGTCTGCGTCAGATTATTTTGAACTTGGTCGGCAACGCCATCAAGTTCACTGAGCATGGCGAGGTCAAGCTTACAATTCGCAAATCAGACCGAGAGCAATGTGCCCCCAACGAATATGCCTTTGAGTTTTCGGTCTCCGACACCGGCATTGGCATTGAAGAGGATAAGCTGGATCTCATCTTTGACACCTTCCAGCAGGCAGATGGATCCACCACACGCAGATTCGGCGGTACAGGTCTCGGCCTCTCTATTTCCAAGCGTCTCGTCAACCTGATGGGCGGTGATGTCTGGGTTACATCCGAGTACGGTCATGGCAGCACGTTCCATTTTACCTGCGTCGTGAAGCTCGCCGATCAGTCCTTGAACGTCATCGCATCACAGCTCATGCCTTATAAGCATCACCGGGTTCTCTTCATTGACAAGGGCCAGAACGGTCTTCAGGCGGAGAACATCATTAAGATGCTGAAGCAGCTCGAGCTGGAGCCTATAGTAGTGAGGGATGAAGATCATGTTCCACCACCAGAGATTCAGGATCCGTCAGGCAAAGAGTCGGGTCACGCTTATGATGTTATAATCGTGGATTCGGTGGACACGGCCCGCTTATTACGAACCTATGATGACTTCAAATACGTCCCCATCGTCTTAGTCTGTCCCCTTGTTTGCGTGAGCTTGAAGTCAGCGCTGGATCTTGGTATCAGTTCCTACATGACCACACCGTGTCAGCCAATAGATCTCGGGAATGGTATGCTCCCAGCTCTGGAAGGACGATCTACACCAATCACCACCGATCATTCCCGCTCATTTGACATTCTGCTTGCGGAGGACAATGATGTGAACCAGAAATTAGCGGTCAAGATTCTAGAGAAGCACAACCATAACGTCTCAGTTGTGGGCAACGGTTTGGAAGCGGTGGAAGCCGTCAAGCAGCGTCGCTACGACGTTATCTTGATGGATGTACAGATGCCTGTCATGGGCGGCTTCGAAGCCACTGGTAAGATTCGTGAATATGAGCGAGAGGCCGGCCTTTCTCGCACACCTATCATTGCACTCACTGCGCATGCCATGCTGGGCGATCGCGAGAAGTGTATACAGGCTCAGATGGATGAATACTTGTCAAAACCTCTGAAGCAGAACCAAATGATGCAGACAATCCTCAAGTGTGCAACCCTGGGCGGTTCACTACTAGAGAAGAGCAAGGAGTCCCGACTTTCCAGCAGTGGCGAAATTCACCACCACTCTGAAGGCAAGCGTCCTGGTATGGAGACAAGGTCCATCACAGCTTCAGGGTCCATCGATCGTGGCTTCTCGAGCCCCGCGGCTGCAAGAGATGATGAGATCGCCATGGAACGGGTCAGTGATTATCGCTCTCGAAATGCTGTATGAGAAGACAATCGCTCATTGGACTTTTAGGCCCTGCTACGATCGAACAGCTCGTGAGACGTTTAGAAGAGACGCTTTCCCATTTCTTCTTTCTTGCTGTCAACAGCCTTGATGCGAACATATACCCATATCGTTTGCCCGCTTGAAGGATTTGTTCTTTGCCTTGGCAATTTGGTCTGCCTTTCCCTTCTTTTCCGAGACTATGGTCTCTTGGTACGATCGCGCTCTGCGATCGAGCCATCTGCTTTGCATAGGCTCCTCGCTGGCGTTGTGTCGACGCCTGTGCAATGACATTTACTCCTCTCCCGTTCACATTGCCCATACCACAACCTGATTCTTTTTCGGTCTTTATTTGTTGAGGCTTCATGTAAGGTGTCCGGCGCATGGAATCCATTGGCGAGGTTTTTATTTCGCATTTACTTGCGGCTTAAGATGAGAACAATGTGGGCCAGCTGATATGACGATGAAGATAAGAGAGTAGCATTCTCCGCGAGAATCCTACTTTTCGCTGCATATTTCCGACTATCCAAACGAGATTCTTGTTCTTCTCAATCCTCTCGAACCTACCACCTATGTTCTATGCATATCTGCGTCGAAGCCTTGTTCCTTCTTCGTTCCTACTCTACTTGTATTGTATCTAATTTCTAAATTCGGGCAGGTGGGGTCCTTATGTTGAAGTCTACTGGCTTCGACTTGATCTGCGTCTCTGTCTTCTTCTTTCCTATTCCCCTACTTCAAGAATTGTTTTGGCACGTACGAATTGCGAACAGCTTGATAACGCTGTCGTTACCGAGGGAGAAATGCAGAAATATCACATTGCGAGGACAGCCCCCTTCTTTTTGCTCGACACAGCCTGTGTGCATTGCGATGCTTAAACTGGACAGCCGCTTGCTAGAGACCGCTTTTTCAGTATTATCTGTTTAGATCTGACCTTGACAAATGATTGTTTCGAATAAATTAGCATAACCGAAAGCCTAATTGATCTGACTAGGACAAAGCGGACCAGATGGACGTGCACTAAGAAAGGAACAAACAGTCTCCCTATTACTTGGGACTCATTTTCCCCTCAAACTACGGTATGGCGATGAGATCGTAATTCAAGATGGACATTTTCACGTCCGACGGCGGAACACGATAGGATTCGCCTTGAGCTTATCTGGCCGGGCGATGTCTGTCTTTTCTGCCACTGTCCGCTTCTTTGGATCAATAGCGGGAGTGGGCTGCGGTGTCCTTGCTCCGGTCACTGTGCTCGTGGTTACAGGACGTGTAGCCGTATTCCCCTGTGTTTGCGGAGCGGGGGGCCGGCTAGGAAGAACGGATAGCGTTTGGACGACTTGGATGGTGGTAGTAGAGGTGGCAGTGGTACTTCCACCGGGAATTACAACAGTTGGGACTCCTCCACCTGCTGCTGGTGCTCCGCCTGGTGCTGGTGCTCTACCAGGTAATGATGTTCCGCCAGGTGCAGCTCCTCCACCTGCTGCTGGTGCTCCGCCTGCTGCTGCTCCTCCAGGTAATGATGTTCCACCTCCTGCTGCTCCTCCGCCAGCTGCTACTGTTCCGCCTGGTGTTGCTGCTGTTCCCCCTGGTGTTGCTGCTGTTCCAGCACCTGCTACTCCTCCGCCAGGTGCTACTGTTCCCCCTGGTGTTGCTGCTGTTCCTGGTACTACTGTTCCAACTGACGGTGCCGCTCCACCCGGTCCTGTCAGCGTGGCAAAGCTTGTAGCAATAGTAGGAGTTGAGATCGACACGCCTCCGCCTAGTGGTGTTGCTCTGGTTGCTGGTACTGCTCCGCCTGGTCCAGTCGCCGTGGCGGGGCTTGTAGCAATAGTAGGGGTTGAGACAGGCACACTTCCGCCTGGCGGTGCTGTTCCGCCTGGTCTGATCGGTGTAGCAGGGCTTGTAGCGGTAGTAGGAGTTGAGACAGGTACACTTCCGCCTGGTGGTGCTGTGCCGCCTGGTCTGGTTGGTGTGGCAGAGATTGTCGCGCTAGTAGGAGTTGAGACGGACACGGCTCCGCCTGGCGGTGCTGTTCCGCCTGGTCTGGTGGGTGTGGCAGAGATTGTTGCGCTAGTAGGAGTTGAGACGGACACGCCTCCGCCTGGCGATGCTGTTCCGCCTGGTCTGGTGGGTGTGGCAGAGATTGTTGCGCTAGTAGGAGTT